AAATAGTAGCTTCTACGGGGAAAAGTATTGTGCACAGATCCAGTTTAGTGATTAGAAAGTAAATTTTCATAAATATTTGTACTGTGTTTTGGAAATTGATGCAGACGAAGCCGCACTGGAACAGCTAGTGTCTTATAAATTGATTAATGCTAGCTGCAAACATGAATAAGTTTCACATTATGTTTTAATAATAAAACTTACGGGATCTTTGGTATCAGTGGAAGAGTCTTTGGTGGCGGGAGGCGTGCAGTTTGCGAACACCTCTTTGTACAATGTATCGAGGTTGTTGTTGGGGTCCACGCGGTCGAAGCAATGGCGGTCTAACGCTTCCAATACCGCTAGAACACGCGCTACAAAACAAATAGTATTATTACAATCTTACTAATATTACAAATGCGTAAGTTTAGGTGGATGTTTGTTAGAATTTGTAGCCTAAACCCCTAACGGATCTCGATGAAATTTGGTATAGATGTAGAGATTAGTCATGAAAACCACATAGGCTACTTACTCTTTCTTTCTTATTTAACGCGAACGGAGTCGCGGGCGAAAGCTAGTTATTATTACATATACTTAATATGGTAGTAATACAGAGAATGTGTTGCTACAAATTTACGACTTCGCCGGCGCACTGATAACGTAGACTTCTAATAGAGAAATTTTGAAATCGACTCAGTGGTTTTTGAGTTATTTCAATACATAAAAAAATACAAATCTTCACCCTTTATAATATAAGTTTTATTCAACTATTTTTATATCAAAATTAATTTAATTAAGTCTGTCTGTAAAAATTTAAAGAATTTATCTACCTTGTGAACTAGTTTGCCATTTGTCAGTGCACCATTTGCTTTCAGCCTTTTTACTCCTTGCTGCTATTTCTTGTTCAGCTTCATAAACCTTAAGAAACAAAACAAAATAATTTTCGATCTTATAGGAATTATACGTCTATTATTTGTGTACTGTTAACACATTTCGTGCCACTACAACACAATAAACTTATAAGACGGCAATGAATGTGTTAATTATTGTTTCTTACCAACTTCCTATGATGTTCAGTAACATCGGAGTCCATATGCGGCATGGGTAAGGCTGATGGTGGTAGGGGGAGCAGGTCGAGGGGGGAGCCTTGCATTGAAGACCCGCAGCCAGACCACACCATAGCTGTCGGACATTCTATGCAGATTATCTAAAACCATAGACATTTTATTAAGCAGAATTTTATCAGATCAATGTTCATTTAATATTTTATTTTTAATTCATTATTTTACCGATAATTTAATATTTTTCATACCTGTAATACTGTAGCTAACTGTATTATAATATCTCTGTGATATTGACAATTTAGTATTTCACTGAATCCCATTTGCACTGGATTTAGTGCGGCAGTTATGACTGTATTTAGGGTTGTCTTAACATCTCTGGGTGGAGATCCTCTCTCTTCTTTTACTTGAACATCCATGGGTTGTGATGGGTTTGGTGTACCCATTGGTATAGGGGTACCAATGGAATGGTTTGGGTTTGGTGTCCCCATAGAATGGTTGGGGTTCGGTGTTCCCTGGCTCTCAGCAGGAGTCGCTGAACGCTTTATTTGGTTAACATTTGGTTTCACATCTCCGTTTGTGTTTTCTGGTGCTGGTGACATTGGTATGCCATTTACTTCTGAAAATAAATTAAACAAATTTAGGAACACATTAGCAGTAGACATATGCCAATAAGATCTGAGCTACAGCTCAACAGCTAAATGAGTATCACAATGGGATTTATTACAATTGCTTGAGCCAACAAGCCGCTAGCTAATCGGTGACTCCCAAATCAAAATGCAAATCGTAACTCAACACAAATTGAACTGATACACAATATAACCTAATCTGCTGATCATTTTTAGTTGCGTTACCAATGCCTATTTAACCTGACAATAGCTGTTGCCGACAGCTAGTGGAAAAGAGGTTTAAATATGAACATATTAAATTAAATGTAACATACTATCACTTCCATCTGCAGTTTTCGTGAATACAGCGGGCTGGTTAAGTGCTCGCAGTGTGGTATCAGAGAGTACGGAGCAAATGGCCGCGGCCTTCTTGGCGCAGGTGGTGGCCAGCCGGCGTGACAGACCCTCACAACACACAAACTCACTCATATGTTGTAATGCTAATGGTAAGAACAACCTGTGTTAAAAATAAAAAAAAAACATTTCCATGATCAAGTTTTGATAATTTTTTTATATTAATTGCAGCAAAACAAAATAAACTTCTATAATAAAGGGAAAGTAAAGGTGAATTAAAAAAAATAAATAGAAAACGAAAAGCACATCCTTAATTTGTACAATAACAAAAAAAAAATCGCGAATTAAACAAACCTCAACAGGCCATCTTCAGGTGCCCTTTTATCAAGCAGTTCTATAATCCACGTGAGGAAGTCATGTCGGTCCAGCAGACCCTCGTCCAGCATGTAGCGTGCAAGCCGACAGCAGTAGTTCCATAACTTGAGTGATTGCCGCCAATCCATACTCTCTATTGTACCTGTAGTTTATTTTATTAATTAATAATACATAAATAATAATAAATAGTAATTAGGACACATTATTTATTTATTTTAGTTTAACTATGAACATAAAGATGTGGTGCTGCTAAACATAGACTTGAATAACGTAAATTGTATGGAACAATTAAATCAAAATACTGAGGCCTATAATCTCTAGACTCCCAATGATAACTAAAAAAAACTATTTAAAAGTTGTTCATTAAAAATGTTTCCCAGAAGTTGATAAAGAATTCTCTTAGTTATAATCATTTTTACCAGTCCCCCCTAGAAATAACATACAATTAGACACAATAGATCTTTTTACACACACTATGCAGGCATTTTTTAGTGCATTAGACATTAACTTGTCCAATGTATGACTTGGTGAGGAACATTGTTGAAATACTGATAGTCATTTTCTTTTTTTCATTTGAGTAAAACTTGTTAAGTATTTAATTCAATGTGTTCAATAATATATGCAGCTTCATACACTTACTAATGGAGTTTCCAGGTGAGTGCATAGAGTTTGACAGAGTTGAATTGGGAGTAGTGCCACCAGGCTGGCTTCCGGAAGAATTGTGACTAGGTGTGCCTTGACCTGGACATAAAAGTACATCTATTTAATTACATAACAGAGTTTCGATGCCTCAGGGATTAAGAACTTGTAATCTGCAGGTCCTGGGTTCAATTCAAGGATGTACCAATGAGTTTATCAAATTACATATGTACATTTACTGGCCATTCTTACTAAAGAAAAACAGTGTGATGCCATTTCTTAGATTGTCTAAGAAATTCAAGTGTGAAGTCAACCCGCAGTGGGCCGGCAATGTTCCTATGGTCTAGTGCCCACTAAGTTAGGGTAACCAAGCCCCACAATGCGGATGTATAGCAGGCTGATAAATATGATATGATGGTTTGGGTTACATTTACATACTAAACTAACAGAAAAAGTAATCAGTTGTTAATAATCCATATGAGTTAAGTTTTATTTCTTTATTTTTATTCTGCACTAGCTGTTGCTCGTGACTTTGTCTGCGTAAAATTAAAAGAATAATAATAAAACATAACCTATGTTACTCATTGATAACATAGCTTTTTAATGGTGAAAGAGTTTTTGAAATTGGCCTTTAGTTTTTGAGTTATTACAATACATACAAATCTTTCCTTTTCATAATAGTAGTAAAGATGTGATTATTTAGAACATACCTGATTGTGATGGTGGTGTCTTTTCCAATGGGTTGGTGGGCACTGCACTTTGATAATGCTCCGCCAGCTTTGGTATTTGGTCTTTTAGAAACTTTATTAATGTAGTTGTCCATTCTAGAAAATGCAAATAATTGAAAAAGAGCTTTAATATCTAATTTATTCAATCTTTTGCTGGTTTTATTGTATTTTCACTATCTTAGAGAGGAAATATAGAACAGTTTCATTATGTATTTCTTACATTTTACTTATAAATCAGATATTTTTATGTTATTTACCTGTAGTAGGATCAGGTAACTGTCTTTTCTTAATCTTAGCCTCCGAGACTGCCACTGTGTAGGCTGAACTAAGCTTTATGAACCATGCAGCTCTTGGCATTGCCACTTGATATTCTGTCAGTGTTATAAAAATTTCCTCCTTCTTGTTAAAATTTGGTGCTTTTTTTGCCAATATTGATAAAGGTTTGCTACCTAAAATGTGGAACCTCCTTTCAGTAAATGTTTATAATGTATGTGAAAGATACTAAAATTAATAATACATATAAAATTTGATAGACATTTTTTTTTTTAATTATTCATATTTTTAACTTTATAGAAAAGTATACCAGCTAAGTCTTTGAACCATGCTTCTATTTGTGGTTTGGTCCTCGCTGTGGCGGGCCAAAAGTTATCTTTGGGATTCACTTGCTGTCTCTTCCGGCCACAGTCTGGTAGTGTGTTCAGTTCTTCTTTCTTTGATAATATGCTTGAGAAGAATTGTCCTATCTGCAATATATAATAACTAATTAAACGTTCTTAATATATCTGACATAAAGAAAATACAAACAAGAAAAAGGATGTTATTTTGTTTGTTTTTAAGAAATTGTAACAGACAATGACCTACTTAATAAATGAGCTGTTACATACCTTCGAGGCAGAATAATTAAAATTCCTTGCGGTACCAAATTCATCGCTAGATTGTGGTGTGGTGGAAAAACCATGTTTAACGTTTGTTGATGTAAGCTCGTCCTCTTTTTGACGTGGTTCCTGTGGATATACATCAGGGGGACCCAGACGAGGCCTTTTTAAAGGCCGTTTTTCATACATAATCCCCATTTTGTAAAGATTTACAACTCACCTGTAAAGTTATTATCAAATATTGTAAGTTATTGACACAGGAGTCACGTCATGATTACTAAGATCAATATATGACTTACTTACCCTAATTATTGAAAACCATGATTTATCTTATATAAATATAATAAATGCACGTTATAAGAATCACATTACTTAAAATTAAAGCAAAAAATTTGCTGCTTTTAACACATTTGTATTATAAACAATAAAATAACTTTTTGATTTTTGACATATGAAGGATTTAAAAGCAAACCACAGACCCTGAATCTGAATAATTGCTATCATAATATAGAAGGTTAATAGGTCATAAAAATGTCACAATATTTTTGATATTTTTGCTAAACCACAAAAAATACAGCATTAAGACTAAAATATAAATGAAAAATGATACTCCCATATTTTACTGCAATAAGCAATGAGAAGACATAAGTGAGAATTGAATAATCTTAATAGAAGTAAAATGGATTCTTAAAAGCAAGATTAGTTTAGTAGCCTATTTGGCTTGAATTTTAATAAGCAAACTATACACGTAATTTGACAATTAACAATTAAAATCTCGAATTTCAACAATTGTGTACTGAAAAATTTGTGCTCTGTGGAGTACTGTTAATTGTTGTCAGCTGTCAGCTGTCAATTAAAATGTCTGATATGTTATCAAACATTGCTTTCTATTAACAATATTATATTTTCCCAATAAAGTAATTATTACTTTATTAAACCTAATGCAAAATGCCCCCTAAAAAGCAACCGGAGAAGCAAACTAAAGCTGGCGGAGGTAAATCCACTGGTGGAAAATCCGGCGGCGATGCAAAAGGTTAGGTTAGATTTCAATATGAAACTTTAATAAATATCAATTTTTGCCACCTAATATTCTTTTAATAGTCATTCAAACAATTGAAGAATATCATTTTCAATTTTAGAATCTGCTGCAAAAGAAAAAAAAGGTGGGACAGCTGTCAAAGTACGTCATATTTTATGTGAAAAACAATCCAAATGTTTGGAGGCACTGGAAAAATTGAAAGCTGGACAAAAGTTTCCCGATGTAGCGGCAGCTTATAGTGAAGACAAAGCGAGACAAGGCGGAGATTTGGGTTGGATGACCCGTGGGTCTATGGTTGGGCCTTTCCAGGATGCAGCATTTGCTCTTCCTATATCATCAATCACCAACCCTGTATACACGGATCCACCCATTAAAACGAAGTTCGGCTATCATATTATTATGGTTGAAGGGAAAAAATGACAGACATGGTGTTTGAGTTTGAGTATTTCTGGGCTATTCTATTACTATTTGTCATGGAAAGAATTTGTTGCCTCCAAGAACAATTTGATAAAGATTATATGTTATTACCTGATCCACCCACTTTTAGCATGTCTATAATATCTGACATAGATGGTTTTGCAAACCGAGAGTGAGTATAATTCACACACCATCATTCCTACATAAACTATTTTAAGTGACATTTGGTTTTGTGTTTTTTAAATGCATATTTCTATGTACATTTGAAAATGATTACTACAAAGTATTGTAGATATTGTCTAATGTATGTTCATAATTTTTTTTTTTTTTAGCCTTTTTATTCCAGTAACTGGACCCCATTCTGGGTATAGGCCTCCTCCAACCTTTTCCATAAGTATAGGGACTTTCCCTTTATTCATCCATTCTTTTCCCACTTCTTGTACGATATCGTCTTTCCAACGTTGTTTTGGTCTGCCGACTTTCCTTGCGCCTGGTGGGCCTATCCATTTCATGGTTTGGTTTGTCATGTTCATAATTAATGCATCTAAATTTAATCATATTTACATTTAAAGTTATTCCTTACATTTTTTTTCAAACATACAATAGTTTATATAGTAGCCATTAATATGTAGATAGTTATAAAACTGTTTATAGGGTTAGGTGTAAGTTACTCAAGATATAATACTTAATTTTTGCATTTAATTGTTACAGTTTAAGTCTGAAGTTGAGTTTTCTTCGATTGTGCCGTATGATGCATATAACAATAATATTAACTGTAATATTCTTCTGCAACATGTGTTTATGGTTTGTAATGACTAAGAAAATTGGGCCCAGATCTTTTGAATATCGGTTTAGATTTACCTTACCAGCTTGATGTAAAATGTTATACAAAATTTATATCCATTAATAAACACAGTTTATAAACAATGTTTTTTTTTCTAGTTCCTTTGACCTTGTAATGATAAAAATTAGCTACAAATTACCAGATTCCTATAAAAGTGACAATTTTCAGATAATAAACTAAGGTTATCGTAATAAGAAAAAAGGAATATGTATTTAGCAGTCTTTATTAAAAGATTATAAATACTTAAAGTAAAACACAACATTCATTGTTATTGTGGACTGCATTAAAAGTTTTAAAATACTGCAATAAATATAAAATGTAATAAGGTAAAACTTAAAACTAACATGAAAATGTAGAAAATTGTATTTCAAACAGAACATAATGTTTACCAATTTGGCAGTGTTTGTAGTTTTGCTTAGTTGTTCCTTTTCTCTCCCATTGCAGATCTTTTTGGTTTTAAATGTATGAATACAAAGCATTTACAACTTTGGGAATAAATTTTATGTACTTATAAATATGTTTTTTTTAATAATTATACCCGTAAATTAGGGTTCGTGTATCGGACGTATTTGAGGAGAGCGTCATTTTCCTCGCAGACGAAAGGTTTGCGGTGATGGCAGGCCACGTCGTGCCAATGTACACCGTCGTTGTAGAAGTTGTTGAGTATGGCCACACAGTGCTCTGCAGCGCCACCTTGGTGAAGTTCCTGGTGTAAAAATAAACAAAGATTAAATTAAATGAATAATTATGTGGCAAATTACTCTGATATTATGCATTACATATTTAAATATTTTACGAAGAAAGGTGTTAGTTTGTGTTTTGTAGGTTTATGTTTTATTAGTTTTCACGCCGCATTAAATACATAATTTCACATTATTGTGTTTAGTGTTATTACATAAGTAATTACACAATGTCAAACATTGATGACTGAGTGGCTACAGGCGGATGTATGATGTGCGCTGTGGATTACGTATGTGGGCGAAAGTGACGCGCAAACAGACGCGTTGACGACACACGCATACCGATGAGCTTTTGTCGCGATAGAAAGCGTATGTACGATGCGGGCATGCCCTTCGGCGAATATTTCGCAGCCCCATAAATATTTACACCGCTTTCGTTTTCATTACGCGACATCCGCCGCGATGCCGGTGTAGTGCCGGTGCGGTGGGCGTTTTATCGTAAGTGTTACTTAACAGTTCGCGGAATTGAGTCATACGTGGACGCAGATGAAGGGTTATGTAAAGTTATGACTTGAGATTTTCCCGTTACGTATTCCTAATTCAAGTAGGGCACAGCGCTATCTATTACAAGTTAACGGCCCGAGTACAGTTCAAATAGAGATCACAATCTTGTTTCCTTAAAGTTCTTTATGGGTATCTAAAAAGATTAAGGATCAAAAAAAAGAAGTAAATGATAGAACAAGAGTAGGACGTTGAAATTGTTGAAGTAGGATTCGATTTAATTTTATTTGCATAAACGAAAGTTCGCGACATATTATGTACGTTGGAACATATGTAACTCCGGAAATGTTGAATAAATACTGCATTACGATTCGTATTTTCGGTCTTTTTATTTGTGCAGTTGATACTAAATCGAGATCGATTAAATAATAATGCATAGTAATTTGCATTGCTAATGTAATTTTACGGATGTTCTTCCTTACCCGGTTATCAGGCTGGGGTTTGCCGATGCCGCCGCCTTCAGACCAATCGTTCTGCTGCCGGTTGGTGGTGGGTGGCAACTTCTGCAGCTCCGCGGTCCAGAACCAGCCGTTGATCTCATTGGGGAGAAGGTCGGGACGGTTGCAGCCCTTGAAGTCACATAGGCGGCCCGACGTCCAGATGTATTTCACCTGTAATTTTTTTTATGAGTACTAAGTAAGCAACGGCACGCTCGGTTAAACATTAATTAATGTACCTAATGTACACCTATTAAATATATACGAAGGATAACTGTTAGTGACCATTAAAGGAATCTGCCAATAGAACACGTCTGTTTAAAAGACGTATCTATCAAAGTGCTTATCAATCATTATAAACGAAATGTGCAACCTTTTGATATATCATAAAGCTTGACCATATCTCTACTAAACTTGTTTTATGATTTATAAATATGATGAAGCGAGCTTTACGTTATCATGAGCAAAAACTGGTTGCGCTACAAAAATGTGTAAATGGCACTAGGAATAGAAACGAGATGCAACTAATCTGTTATGCAACTAACTAGTATCATCTAATCTAGTTCCTTAAACAGTAAAAAGGCTGACAAACGGTTCAGTGGAATGGTATATGAAAATTTTCGAAACATGTTTACTGAAATGCTAAATGTTTTTAAATTTCTCCTCTTTTCATAATCGCAATTATAATTGGTTACGAAAGTTATTTTTATTTGGAATCAAACTTGAACTCTAGGGTAGACAGACTAATCGCAGTGCAACATGATTAATATCACAAATCGACATGACATTAACAAAGAAGAAACATCTAGCGAGAAAAAGTTTTTCCCACGAAAGATGAGGCCATTCTGTCGATAACAAACAGTGAAATCTGAAAAGGGAAAATATTTTAAAACCGTCTTGTGTCACCGGAGCCGTGCGATATTATTACAACCAAGAATTCTCTTCGTTTTCAAATGAGTAAAACCGCTATTGTATCTAGAAATATCCAAAACAAAGCTGTTTAAATTCGTTACGGGACGATTGTAAGAAATTTTGTACACTTTCTATTAGTTGTTTGTTTTCTATTGCTTTGGAAATATTATGTTTTCACGTCACGGTCAGTATGTGCGGCGGTAAGCGGTGCTGGTGACCGTTGTCCACTCGAACTCGTGACACGATCACACGTGAGCGTTTTGCTAATATTTGACGCATTGTAGTCAAGCGGGTCAAGGGTGGAGATTCATTGTCGCTAATGTTACGCGTTTTTCTCTCGATTATCCCTAAATACATGTAAATGGATGGAACAATCATGGAAACTGTGGAGTAAATCGATTACGCCTTGGCCGACGGACGTGTGCTCAATATAAACTGTGCTTTTTGTAACTTATTGAAAATAACTCTAGGGATAAACACACTGGATCCTTGAACCCATACATCTCTCTTTACTTGAAATACTGTTTTTGTGTTTTTCGAGAAAAATTTAACAGTCAACTCGAATATTTATTATAACTTATAAGTAAAATAAAATAACACTATTTTCTGTTAAATTTTTGCAAATCAAAGACTAATAACAGATTTGTTTGAATGATAGCTACACTTAAATTTTAGTATAAGAAGTTCTTACCTTGTCTTGAATAATGCGCGCTTTAACCCACTCGTTCTCGTCGCTGGTCTCCAAGGAAACGAGGTCCATGCAGCGCTGCCGGCAGTAATTCCTTGCGCTCAGCCAGTCCTCCTCCACGCCGCGGAGTGCGGGGTCGCGCCACGAGAAGAAATATCCCTTATCTATAAAAAAATAGGTAGGTTGGAGCAAGACTAAAGAAAAAACATTTTATAAATGTTAAATTAGATCAAAGTTGGTATTATTTTGGTTGTCCCGAAATTTACGCTTGATCGTAAAAAACGTGACTGCTCTAATAAAAAAAATATCGGATCTAGAAATGCCCGTAACTATTATATTTGTACAAACAAATATTTTCCAGATTTTAACATTCTCAAGTCATGTATAAATCTTTATCGAACTTTGAAATGAAATTTAATGAGATTTAATCAATAAAAAGTATCGCCCGAACAGGGACTTGAACCCTGGACCCTTGGATTAAAAGTCCAATGCTCTACCGACTGAGCTATCCGGGCTGTGTCGGATGACATAAAATTTCACATCTAAATGTTAATCATGAAGCGGATTTTAATAGGTCATCACATTCTTGGGAGTTATAACGATTAGAATATTATGTAAACAACTTTTTTATTACACTTTTTATACACACATTTGTTTCATTGATTTTACAATTACGTCACACATCGTAATAATTACGTTGTATTATTAAAAGTTATTGCGTAATATTTAATTTATGCTTAGTAACTATATATTGCAGTAGTAAAGATTCACGACTGGTTAATCACACAGGGTGGGCAGAGACAACAAGAAGATATGTTTTATAATTATTAGCATAAAGCTAATTGATTTGTAATAGCATTGTTATCATTATCATAAGTAGAGACAAAATAGAATAATAATATATATAGAATAATAAACTTTTTCGACAGAATTTTTTTAAAGAGCTTGTTAACTAAAGCTTGGTATTTTGTCGACATTTAAAGACAATGTTATCAAGTTGTAAAATTACTCGAATTCCATGTCAGAAACAGGTTGCGTTATCTGACATCCGGGAAAGATATCGAGATAGCTTAGTGTACGACGTTTTATCACCACGAAAGCTTAAGTTGCGAGTCTTTTTTCTGCATATAGCATGAGATGATAAGGAGCTTGGAATAACTTGAAAGCTTTGACGATTATTATTTTAGCATAATTAGGTTATAATTAGTAAAGGATTTATAAAATTATGAGGATCGCACATAGACTGAACTTGAACTCACTGTTCTACATTATTTAATGTTTACAAATAATAAGCGATTATATGCTTTTTTATTGACAAAGCAGATATCAAATATTGCTGGCACATTAGATGGATGCAGATAGGCTGCAATTGCAGGATAAAGGGCTGAATAATTTGTATTATTGTCATTTACTACTCATTATTAAATTCTGATAAATAATTAGTATAAGGGCAAGTCCCACCACTGATCGATAGATGCTCAGATAGCTTAAAAATGACGTCACTGACAGATAAAGTAACAAAATCCGATATTTCCATTGCATATTTTACACGTTCGTATCTAACAATTTACAAGAATTTGGTGAGACTGACTCTAAAAGATATATTTTGTGGTAATAAATAGTACCTTTACGATATAAGTAAAATGTTTCTCATCGGACGTACAATCGTATCTATCAATCAGTAACTTTCAAACAATCGTTAGGCATTATCGGTAAAGAAGTTTTAAAATTTCTATAGTCGCCTCAACTTTCTCAATGCCGGTCAATCCGGTTCTTAGATACAATATTTCGGGATTAATTTTTCACACCAATTATTGTTGCTTTGTGTTAAGGTAATAAACATGTTTCAATCTAAAGTCTGAGTAATTTCAAACGTAGACTATTTGCATGATTCTTTCAAGCTCGTAGATTCATGTTATACGACGAAACGATGGGGACATAAACCAGAAAGTGTTAAGACTGACTGTGTGAAAGAGGATATGCTTAAGAAAGGAGTGGATTCAGATATGACGGCTGATAGAGATGTATGGAAGAGCAGCACGTACTGTGCCGTACCTCCGTATGGGATAAGGGCAAGTGGGCGATGATGATGAGATTCTAAAACTCAGTATGTGGGTTTGAGATTCCTCTGTTCACAATATTAACTTATTAGATCAAGATGTAATAATTTATTCATGCTGATAATTAACATTATTAAAAGATAAAATAAAATATCTATTTTTGTATCAAATGTATGTCAAAAGGTAAATCCAAAAAGATTGTAATACAAATTATGTTTCCGTGTATTACGTTAAATAAAAAATGAAACAATTTTCTATAAATTATCATTTATGATAAAAGTAACATACATAAATTCTATTATATTATTTTAACAATTCGTTAGAAACAAATTAATGTAGCTTTAAGGATGTACCTAGAGAAATTTCCAGTTTTAAATCGAGAAAATGTTTATGATCATTGAAATTTTTAGTAAACTTAGATTAAATTTTAAACAATTTTTTTCGCGCTATCTTAGAATAATTTGGTAGTACATCAAACGAGTAGAATGTTATAATTTGTTTCGTATTCTATTAAAGACTACAACCACGAATGTTTTTCTGATTATAAAATATTTGTTCTTGAAGTCAGGATGCTTTAAGTTATTTAATCTCACAAGTGTAAAAACCCATATTTTTTATTCCTATAAACATTAAACCAGCATTTGACCACGATCTCGCGGTGTACTAGTCAAAAGATGGTACGCGCTTCTTTTCTAAATGCCAATTCATTCTCTTGGGGATCTCATCGTCCAAGTCTTTACCGCACACACAATGAACAAAAAATCATTCAGTTTAATACCTCCATATCTATCACTAGGACAGGACTACAGTAGAATATTTTTCTTGTACTTACTATCAGAATATCTCTCGTGTATGACTCTGTTGACGCAATGGGAGGGTATGGGGGGCTCCAGGATGCGGCCGCTAGGGAACTGCGCATGCACCACCGCCACCACCGTCAGCATAAACACCCATCTTGCCTTCATTTTCTGCGAATAAAGAAGGATATAATAAAGTGAAATTATGAAGTAAGAAGGGCTGCCTTTGAATGGGAGTGAGATATTTTATTAAGTATTCGACAAATAACCTGTCGAACTAGACAATATAATAAACTGTCTCAAGTAAAAATATATGTAAAAGTAGTTTTGAATAAGAAAACTTTGAAATGATAACAAAACTATTTAGAATCTGTAGTTTTTATTGAGAATACGCAATAACACTGCGTGATATTTATAAATACCATAGAACCGGATAGTTTCTCGGATTTATGATTACTTACATGAATAACAACAGTTAGGGTCGAGGAACTGAACAATGTATTAAATTTCAACGAAAAATTATGCAACATTCATCGCCAAAATTTTAAAAGTAACTACTAAATGTTAATATATTTTTTCTAACGATCATAATTTAAGTATTTTTACTTGTTAATTTTCCTATACAATCGATAACATATCCGGATGTCACAAGCTTCAAAATAATATTCGATTATTTATAAAAGGTCAAAGAATAAACTTGTCTAATAAATGTTTTCGAATGCTAAAGATTCTCGGTAATGTTATACTCAACAAAAAATGTTATTATAATATAAGGTCAATTACTTATACGAAAAATTATGATATTTATTGTGGTTGTACAGAACGGTTGTTGTTTACAAACAAACTTTCTTTTATGCACCACATGCATTGCGCAAGAAAAGGTATCGGGATTATAAGACCGGTCCTGGATCAAGTAGAAAGTGACCTTGGCCCCTTGACTAAGTAGTTCATTCCACCCGTGACTACAGTCCTTAAAAAACTTATAAAAATTTTTCACTTTCATTTAAAAAAAATAACATTCAAATTTCGAATTTAACGCTCACTAAATAATTTTATTCTTTTTTTTTAAGTGGCAGGTTATAAATATTCGAAATTATGAAGAAGTTTTACTTACATATGCGTCTGTCTTCCGAATCGTTCACAAACTGATGCGCGGTCGCCGCGCATTCGTTTTATATAGAGGTAACTCGCACGTACCATACAACCCTTGCTGACGCAGGGTGGTTCTAGCCTATACTGGTGTACGAAATTGTGCTGACTAATGCCTGCCTTTGTAATGTATGTTTCGCTTTTTTCTTATTTAATGAAACATTGATAATTTTGAAATTTAACCGTTAGTTTTCTGTTATCATTACTACAAAACGCGTAAACAAAGACATTTTTATAAAGAGAATAAGAATGACACTATATTTTTTAAATATGCAGTTAACAGAATTGTTAAGATCGAACTGTTAAGGTTGTACAAAATGCAGGCGAAAAATTGGGACCTATCTCTATGTAGCCTATTGATCTATACAAAGTTGATACCAGTTGCTTTTCTAACCTCAAAATATGCTTAGCTACTTTTCGTTTTATATCTCTATCTATCCAATAAACATTGTTAGATCCTTGATATACATGAAAAATTCCTTATTAGAATTCTAGAACATTCTGTTGGCAGAGCGTTGACAGCATACGTGTTGGCATTGCTAATCGCGGCTTTCTTTGGTGCGTTTGCGCACGTCGCATCGCCCGGCTCTCGGCGATACTGCCTGAAAGTAATAAATGGTTATTTTATACCATATTAAGCTATTTGTCTCCGGGGGAAAATCCTAAAAAGTACTGTACACGTGGTAGGATTTATCTGTTTATCTTAAGACTTAACCAGGGACAACTTTCGATATTGCTTCAATATTCCTCATCAACCACAAACAAATGAAGAGAGGCTTATTTAAGTTCATTTGAACGTCTTATGTTTTGAAGTATCAAGCTTCGTGTAAGTTAGTCATTATTTAACAATCTATGAACATTTAGTTTAAAACAGTAATAAAATGTACGTCAAACTTTCTCAACATAAATCTTTGTATATTATATTGTTTTCTACATGTGAGGTTTAAATGATTTAGGTGCCCTTCATGAAATCTTTAGTGAAAAAATCTGAGTATTTTTTTAAATCACCATTTGAAGCATTACGATAATTTAATTCATTAAATTACCAGTATTAAAGTAAAGCAACATTGCGCGGTCATTATCCTTGGCCGTACGGCTATCAGATCTTAATTCAAAAATTAACTTAGAATGTAATATTAGCAATAAGATACCTCATCTTTAATCCATATCGAAATATCCGTTTTACTTTTTTAAAGTAACTTTTCCTAGCTGAACTTTTGTAGTTAACTGCTTCAAGACCTTGGCAAAATCTAACTAACTGATATTAGTTGGCTGTTCTACATAAACTTTAAATATGATCATAGATAAGTTATTTTTTTATGGTCGTGAAATACGAAATTACGTAACCTTCCATCTCTCTTTTATCATGGGCGGTATTGTTTTACCGTTTTCGATTTTAAAGAATCAAAGTAAAGAATTAAAGGCTTATTAATAAATGACCACTGGACAGTTATAAGCATTTATCACCTTTCTGTATATTTCGGTGAAATTATGTTCGCGACTAAATGAATCATTACACATAATGGACACCTTGTACCTAGTTCGTATTCATGCGTGTCTTACAACTTTCTCTAATTCCCCATGTAGGAAATAAAACAACCACGCTTATTATGACTAATCTTTTAAAATTAATTACAAAATAAATTATCAGCTTTGTCTAAAAACAAGCCCTTATTACGCGCTCGATGAAAAGGCGTATAATTTGTGTCATTGAAACCATAATCTTCTACAGTGAGTAGCAGAAGTACGAAGGAAGAGTACTAGTCCCTGCTGTGCTGTGAATTCGTTCGTGACATAATTGCTTGTTTTTTGTATGTTTGAGCATGAGTGTGAATCGGCAATGGAAACTAACGGTCTCAGTATTGAATTTGTTGGACAAATCGTCTGTTTAAAGATGGCTTAAATTGGAAGAACAGTGTTGACTGATCGATTAATTTATAAGCGATAATCGTTATAAGCTAATTATCCTGTTTCTTTAACCTTACTTCATTTACTTTACAAATTAAATGAGATAGTTAATCGATGTATTATGTAAGATTCTCATTCTTAGTCTATTGACTTAGGTGTGTGATGTTTTGGTTGTTTATGTTTGTTTATTCGTCTCGACATAACGCGTTCCTGGTATTCGTATGTTTACGCTTAATAAATAGATTGTTAGCGGAATGAAAAATGCGTATTGGCCGTTAACATTACTAAGTTTGGTTATAATTTGTAAAAAAATTGTACGATATTTAGAAAATGCGATTTTTTGTTATACAAAGAAACTTATTGTTTTTAATGTATCTAGGAGGGGATGTACAGAAAAGGTCATTTCTCATTCACCAAGTACAAGAGAGACACGCCTAATAAGAAAATAAGATCTAAGTCATGTTGACTTTTTTTTAAGCAGTTGTATTTATGCTTTGTTACTATCAGTAGAATCTCTCTTGTAACTTCGTGAGTCATCGTCGTGGGCGGGAGATGTGCCAGCTTTTGGAAACAGTAAAATGAAGTACCGTTAGGGACGAAAGGATGCAAACTTAAGTCTGAAGTTATTAATGGTTGTCACACTTTAAAATAAACATGAAGAATTATTATTTTGTAAGTAAGTTAATTTCTAGTTACCTAGCTAAAATGTTTGTCACCATCACCAGGTAGTTTGGTGGACAAAACTAAAGCTACTTGGTTCTTTGAAAGAATTAAAAAGACTTATAAAACCTAAATGAGAGCTTTCTTTGAGATTTAATAAACAAGTTACAATGGCTTCACAAATGTTAACAAAAGGAAATACTATGTTCTAAAATATACAGATAATGTTTTTGGTAGTAGTGGCATAGAATCATTAGACCGAAAAAAAATTAAAAATGTAAATGTCAATGTCAATGTCACATTTGCTTGTCATCAATCAACAGCAGCTCAATCTGACAGTTGAAAATTGAGATGAACGAATGAAAGTAAATATACTTTGTTAGATAGAAAGAAATATTTTCACGGAATCAGCTTATATTGATTTACGTTTAAAACAGTTCAGTACAATGATAAACATGTTTTGCTGTCTTAAAGGGTGTATAAACGGATTCACGTTGACTCCAAGTGTTCCAGTACGGATAAAGGAAAATCCGATTCAACTGGATTCGCTACATATGGGTATAATTTTTTTATTTCTTATATATTTATTGAATAACTTGTTTTATATGTTAAACTTTTCAAACTGTTTTTAATAATGTTAGACCGGATAACTATGGATAATACATTACTGCATGCTCTGAAATTATTGAAAAATTAGACATTAAAGTTTTATTGGTTCATACTAGACGTATTACGTATAGCTTCGAGTTTAGGTCATTTATAATAAGTGTGTGGTGTAAACAACCTTTAGATTACATGTAATTAGGTAATTTATCACCATTCTTCATTTTATTCCAGGTCATGAAGTTGTTTTAGTAAAAAGTGGACAGCGAGCCTGTGGATCAGGTTGTACTCTTGGCAATGCACCGCTGGTACAAAACAAAGCTTACTTTGAAGTGAAGCTGCAGCAAGGAGGCGTATGGGCAGTCGGACTTGCTACTAGGGATACAGATCTTAATAGAGTACATGGTAAATTTTATAATATTATTCTTTTCATATTAATACTTACTGAAGTGTATTGGGAACAATTTTTAAAATTTTTCCACTAATGGACAACTTCAACAAACTTTAGAGGGAGATACTTATAATGCCAAAAAAAAGCATTTTTTCTGTCCATCTCCTCCCCAATCCAATCCATATCATATTTTGCATCTCCTTATAATAAAAGAAAATAAATCGGCCATAAAATTAAATTAAGTCATTCAATTAAAACATTAGCGTGTCTTATTGACATTCAAGTAGTGTATTCACTTTAGGTCAGTGTTACACATATAAAGGTCATGTGACACAAAACCAAATATGAACTAGAGTGGTGTAACTATATTTTATTGTTTAATATCATTGTTCTAGACAGGACCTTGTGACCTTGTCTATGGAATTTTTAATGATGCTATGAATGTGTTAAGTTAAATTGTAATAATATTAGCTTTCGCCAGTGACTTCGTCTGCATGGTATTAGAACAAAACAAAAATAAGTAACCTATGTGTTCTTTTAGACTATCCTCTACCTCTATGCAACATTTTATTAAGATCCGTTCAGCTGTTAAGGCTACAAACAGTACTGTACTTATAATATTAGTGATGTGACGTCAAATGGTATATGCATTGTGAGAAAAATAATTTTCAAAACATGATTTCTATATAATTGTAATAATTAATGCAATATTCAATCATCACTCATATCTTAATGTTATAATTTTGTAGAACAATTGTTATATGAGTTTTTAGAATAAAACATTCATGTCTACAAAAATTAATTCCAGGTGGGTTAGATAAAGAGTCATGGTGTCTAAACAGTGATGGTACAGTCCGGCATGACAACATCGAGCTATATCACCTTAGGCCGGCATCTTGTGACTCACCTACTGAACTGTTAGTGTCAACTGCGTCTGCCGATGAGAAACCAGAAAGTGACAAGCCTGATAGTACAGTAGCGGTTATGCCAGTTGAAGGTGATGTGATCGGTATAGCTTATGATCATGTTGAGATGAACTTTTTCTTAAATGGAAAGAATATGGAGATCCCAGTCAGGAATATTAAAGGAACTGTATTTCCTGCTCTTTATGGTAAGTTTAAAATAAAAAAATATATATTTTATAGATTAAAAAGCTATTAAAGTATGTTGTTTTTATATGTAAAACATGAAAAATCAGTAATGTTTTTTGTTTTCCTTTTAAATTTTTATCTATATTAATAAAGACGACAGATTTGTATTTTTAGAATTGTGTATGTATTGAAATAACTCAAATACTATTGAGCCGATTTCAAAAAATCTTTTACTGTTAAAAAGTTTTTTATTGCTGAGTAATCAGCTATATTTTTAATTTTCATATGGATAAGTCGCGAACAGCTAGTAGATAAATACTTTTCAAGATGTTAATGATTTTCTACAGTTTTTTTTATTCTGTACTTTTAGACAGTTAATATACTTTTAGTACTATATATGGTACTTAGCAATATTAATTTAACCACTCCACTAGACAAGTGGCTAGGAAAGGCGCGCGAATTTCCATCCTTCTAGTGACATTGACAGCTATCATCTAGGGACGTGACGTTTAGGCCGATAATCTAGAGTTGCGCCAATTCTACGGCATGGTACTAATTTTGTTCTTAACACTACTAACAAACTGTTTTTATAATAACAAACAATTGATTTTCAGTCGATGACGGCGCCATCTTGGATATAATTTTAGACAACTTCCGGTACCCTCCTCCGTCGGGTTACGAGAAGATTATGGTAGAGCAGTCCCTCCTCTAATTGTATTTTGAATTGTGTGTTTGACAATCTTGTGGTACTGGTGACCTGTATTAGGTATCACAGGGTATGAGACTGGAATTTTTGTGTGCTTATTTTAAAATATAATTAACTACTTATGCTTTACAGTGTTTTGTGCGTCAAGGTATTAATGAATGATTTTCTTAAATTTGATTGATTTGAATAAATTGAAATGCAATGTTTTAACAAGTCAGTTTAATATTATAACCGGTACAATATTGTGGACGTTTAACAAAATTTGTATACAAAAATACTTGTAACTGCAATTATTAAAAATATTGTTTGTTTGTCTTATAAGTACAATTTTTTTAATACCGTATTATATTTTAAGTGAGAGTGTCTATAGTTAATCTCAGTTTTTTAAGTGTTAGTGATAAGTGCTTCGTTGTTTTGTAACACTATAAGGTATGCTTTTGTGGACTTTATTGTAATGTGCTTAATTTTACTTAATGTAAAGAAATTTGTTTAACAAGTTGAATTATAAAAAATACTATTTGGTATATAAAAATAAGGTTTGCATATACGTAATTTTTACAAGCAGATATTAAGAGCGGGCGGTTGTGCGATTGTCGATTGTTTCGCAATCAATCCAACTGTTTAGTTGTATAACTAAAAATTGAGTACCGTGTCCACCACCATATAATCTCTTACGAATCAAAGAGAGACTAAACAGTTGTGCGATAGTTTAGTCTTAGGTACACGCATGCTCTAACAGTGAAAAATAAACCTTGATTGTCAATACGCTAAGAATACCATGCAAGGAAAACGCAGCTCTTCTAGATTTCGTTGCGAACCGCTAGATGGCGGTTATACAGTTTCTTTTAAATACGGAATATTACTGACAGTATTGAATTAAGGTCTTGATAATTTCTTAATAGTTTTGTTAATCTATCTAGATTTGTTTGTGCAGAAAAATAAGGTTATAAAAGTGTTCTAACTTCACCAAAATATTAGAGAAATACATTGAAATTTTATTATCTCTGTTCACATTTGTAGGTAATTTAAAAATACCCTTGGTGTGTATCTGTTTCAGATAAAATGGATTTATATTAAATCTATAGTATTGTGTACATAACTAGATATCCCTAGAATTTTCAGTAAACAAATCTTAATGTTAAGGACTTAGGTCGTTATATTTCATGATCTCAAATCATGTTTGATTCGTTCGTTTTACAATTTAATCCTTTTTAGTCACTTTAATTTTTAATTATGTATAATTAAAAGTTATAGTGTATATTAATTTTCATTGAATTCCACTACAAAATTATATGAAAACGGTTGGGAAAAATCCTTTTTATTTATAAGGTGTGGCTTCCATTGCTAAATAGCGTAAAGGTAACCCCACTTAGTCCCCTAGACTTAGCTTAAATCATCGACAGGCAATGCCCATGGATTACTATTAGACATTATAGTCCTGCATTTTGTCTCGAGAAATTTTTCTATGTTTTTGTTATTTTTTTAAATAACTAGCTGTTCCCGTGCAACTTCATCCGCAGTAAATTATGAAAATTTTGTTTTATTGTTTACTTGTGTCAAATTATAAATTGCAAATGTCAAAATGACATAACGATGGCAACCTTGCGTCCTTGATGTTGGCAGCAACTTATGGTCTCTTTCCCACATTAGGGTTTTTATCCAAAATATTTACACCCTAAGTTTAATGGCGTGAAAATATATAGCGTAAAGCGTGACGTAAGTGTAGGGCTTTTTATTAAAAAAAAGAATTATTCATAAATATGCTGTAATTGCTGACATCTTAGGCAACAAACAAGTGTGTGTTTACGCTTTTTTATTATATAATAGTATAGATAATTAGCTAATATCTGACTACATAAAGGACCAATAAATATAATAAATGCCATATCACTTATAACGTTCCAAAAGATTTAGTTGGTAGTGAGTTCTGATTTTTTCGATCTTTCATAAGCATAAATATAAATACACTAAATATGATATATGAAATATTTATTATGTGGTATGAAAACGCAGCTCTTATCGGTTATATTGTGTACCGCTAGATGGCGTTGTTATACCAGTGACATTCAGTTTCACTTGAAATATGGAATACTAGCGGTTGCACGCGACTTCGCCTGCGTGGAGTTTAAAAGTTCAAAACAGGATACATTTGAATGAAGCCTAAACACACACACCTTAGTACGTATTTACTTAGTAGTATACGTAGTAACAAATATCTATGCAAGATTTTCTTATTTATTCTTAAAATACGTAGATATGCGAAATAACCGTTGATATGTGAAATTGTAGTGCGTTATGTTTCAAAATTATTAAAGTTCTTCAAAGTTGTTTGCATGGATAATATTAAGTTTATTAAAAGCAAAATTATAGATATTCCGATTTAACAACATAAGTTTTAAATCTATAAGTTAAGAATTACAAAATCTACTAATTTATTGTCCTGTGATTCAACGTTCTCTGTTTTAAAATGTATTTTAAATGCTGTATATAAAAATATCAATAAAATATAAGAAACGACGTTATGTTTTTTCTGCTGACCCTTGTGAGTTGAAGGCCTCGAGGTAATCTGTCACGTCGCTAGCACTATATAATTATAATAGCATTAGCTTCTAAACTAGGCTCGAAATCTCAAACTGAAGATGGTTTACCGTCTACCTTAACCTAGAACTCGACCTAAGCCTTGGGTCTTAAGGATTTGTTCTCTTGATCGAATTATTAAAAAATATATTACATGTAAAAAGGTCTTACATTTCAAAAAAAATATTTACATCCATTAAGGACACCAGATAGCATTCATTGTTTTTTTTAATTAAAAGAGCACAAATAAAAATATTTTGGCAATGACATGTTATGCGACGAAACGATGGGGATATAAATCAGAAAGTGTTAAGATTGAATGTGGATGGCTACAAAGGTAGAGGAATGACCGACAAAAGTATGGATGGATTGTGTGAAAGAGGATATGCTTAAGAAAGGAGTTGATTCAGATATGACGACTGATAGAGATGTATGGAAGAGTATCACATACTGTGCCGACCCTTCGTCAGGGATAAGGACAAGTGGATGATGATTCTTTGCCAATGAACACAATCGCGGGTAGACAGTTGCAAAGTTTGAATTTGATACTCAACAAATAGATACAATAAGAATATAATAATAACAATTATCAACAATTAATTAATTTGTAATACAATACTATCGTGTATGTTGAAATCGTAATGACAATGATAGTAGCTGATAAAACTATTGTTTTTTAACGTTATCTCTAGAATCCTCTTTTCAATTAGTTCACATTGCTCTGTACCGTTGGTCCGGCGATGAAAACTTTATCAGCCTTACAAATATACACGGTAAAAAGTTAAATTTAGGACTATAGTGATTATAAGCAAATATTAGTACAAATTTTGCTTAGTTTATTTCTAAGTTTAAATTTATACTGGATTTCTTTGTAAGGCTGTAAATGCTTAATTTAAACATCAAAGTATTACAATAAACAAAGTATTATAAAGAACAAAAAATAATATAAATTCTTTTAATACTTGATAATAATGTAATTACTGTGAAGATAGCAATTATATAAAACGCACTAAAAAATTAAACACGAAACAGTAATACATTTTGTGATAAGCTAAAAATACATGAAAATTAATTTAGTATTCGACTCAACTTAAATTAACATAAAGGCCTCGTTAACATCATTATTCGTAAGATCATTGTTAGTTTGCGTTTGTCCCTCAAAATGTTGGGACTAGTTATATTTTTTGGCTTAAACTTAAGTAGTGGACTAACTAAAGAAGCACGACTTGTGCACACAACTCAAGGCCCTGTCGTCGGATATAAGGAACCTGGTGACAATGTGTTTGTTTTTCACGGGATACCATATGCCACCGCACCCACAGGTGAAAACAAATACAAGGTAAAAACCGGCGAATTTGTATCTATTTGACTTAAATTCTTCTTTAATATGTAAATTAAAGAAATTCATTTATTACAGCCACCTCTGCCAGGGCCCAAGTGGTCCAAACCCTTCCATGCTGTCAATGAAAATATTAGTTGCTTGCAAATGAAAAATTATCTTATAACAATACCGAAGGAAGTTCAAACAGAAAATTGCTTAGTTGCAAATGTATACGTACCAGATACAAAAGAAAATAATTTACCTGTTTTAGTAATAATTCATGGAGGAGCGTATATTTTTGGAAACGGCGATTTTTTGAAAGGAAAAAATCTTATAAGGCAAACAGCTATGATCATAGTTAATTTTAATTATCGTATTGGACCTCATGGTTTCTTGTGCTTAGGCACACCAGACGTGCCAGGTAACGCTGGAATGAAAGACCAGGTGGCCTTGCTACGCTGGGTTCAGAAAAATATTGCCAGTTTTGGTGGAAATCCTGATGATGTGACTATAAGTGGATTCAGTTCTGGCTCAGCTGATGTAGAACTATTAACGCTTTCACCAATAACAAAAGGTTTATTTAAAAAGGCGATCTTAGAAAGTGGTTCAGGTGTAGCCGCATTTAGTGCTCAGACAAATCCCGTTAAAAACGCTAAAGATTATGCGAGATTATTGAATTTTGATGCTGGTGATGATGTCTATAGTCTTGAAGAGTTTTATAAATCGGTTCCAAATGATGTTTTATATTCTAAAGACGTTTATAATGCGACAGACACTATATTCTTTTTCTCACCCTGTGTGGAACGCGATGTAGGACAAGAAATATTCCTCGGTGACTCACCTGTGAATATATTAAAAAATGGTGAACAAAATAAATTGCCTATGCTTTTCGGTTTCACCGAAATGGATGGATTGTTTAGAATACCACTCTTTGATGAATGGAAAGATAGAATGAATACGAAGTTCTCGGATTTCTTACCGGGTGATCTACGCTTCAAAGATAATGCGGAAAGAGAAGAAGTTGCTCAAAAAGTTAAACAGTTTTACTTTGGCTCGCAAGCAGTCAGTGAAAAAAACATATTTAGATATATCGATTATTTTACAGATACTGTTTTCGCTTATCCTACTTTACGATCGGTTAGGTTGCACGTGGAGTCTGGGAATGAAAACATTTATTTGTATCGGTATGATTTCGTTGATGAAACAGCACCTCTGGTGCCTTACACGTGCGTGAGAGGTGCAGATCATTGTGCTCAGACTCTTGCGGTTATGGACGGCGTTATTTCGTCTTTAGCGGAGATTAATCCATCACAAACCTTAAATGAAGATGGTCTTTCTAGGGATTATAAGATTATGAAAGCTGTAATGAGATATCTTTGGGCAACGTTTATAACGACTGGGTAAGTATCAATTTAAACATGAAAGTACACTAAATAGAATAGAGAATAAAGAAAATGTGTGTGTATTTATGAAAAATAAGAATATAATTACTGTTTTGCTTTTCAGTAAACCTGTGCTAGAAGATTCCAAACCTAAATGGCCGCCTACTCAAGCTAATGGAGGTCCGTACATGCATTTGGACATATCACTCAAACTGCGAGGTCCACTTATACAACAACGCGTTCTGTTTTGGGATGATATTTATGACAAATACTATAGTTATCCTTCTCCACCATCTCCACAGTCACACACAAAATAAGCATATAAAACGTAGAACTGTGTGAAAAGAGCATCTGATCGCTGAATAAAAAATGGAAAACCAGTTTAAAGTTTCTTGTAGAAGATACCAGTTTTCTATGATAATTTGAATACGGAATATTAATGTAATTTTAGGTAAAACAATACAACCATTACAAGCTTAAGATACGAGTATGTAAATTTTTGAATGTCTTCATGTTTTTCGCACACAATTTATTTGATTTAAAAAAATAGCACAATCGTCTGTGCACGGCGTTTTTTATTAGAATTTATTAAGAACAAGAAATCAATTGTCATGACTTGCATTTGTTTTTGTAAGTAAATAAGCGTTAGTTGCGTTTACAAAACTAGCTTATAACGTAATTACAATTACATTGACTGATGGTAGAGCTGATTTATTCTCTTGATGCGCTTGACGGCACACGAAAAACGATAATATTTAAAGGTCATAACACACTGCGTACAATTATGGTCCAAATTTAAAAATGGCGGCCAAAGAAAATAAGATAATTTGATTGATATGTCCTGCTATATATGTTTGCTCCTCCTGTCCTACCAGGTCGCCTGTAAGAGATGGTTTATAGCTACTTAGACGCGCTTGCGCCATGTGAACTCTAGTTGTAGTATTTTTTTTAATGAGGTAACGTATTTGCAGTTGTAATTCTAAAATTAAATTAGCTTTAAAAGTGTTCATTAAATTATTTGCGATGACTATCCACTAATAAATTACAGTGACATTTGCTTACATTATACATGTAATTGGTTATAAGGCGATAAATAACGCATGGTCTGAGGAGCGACTAGCTTTCAGGTCTAAAGGGCTTGTAAGTTAGAGGTGTGACCGAGAGTTGGCAAAATGATTCAATATATTCTGTTTTTTAATTTAATGATAATGAGTCAAGGTGAGACTGAAGATTCGATGCTGGTAAATATAGAACAAGGTCCTGTCCGGGGATACAAGGATCCTGGTGACGATATATTTGCCTTTTATGGAATTCCTTATGCAACTGCACCTACCGGAGCGGATAAATTTAAAGTAAGTTATTTTGAAGCTTAAAGCAGTTACAAAATATTACATTGTGTCTCGGAATAAGACAATGTTTTGCTTTCTGGATTACAATGTTTTTACAAGAGACAATTAAATGATTTAAAATCGTTCTTCATTACAGGCACCGCTGCCACCTCCCACTTGGTCAGAACCATTAGAAGCAATTAACAAAAATGTTATTTGTTATCAAATGCAAAGTGCTTTTATGGAGCATATAGTTGGTGTTCAGTTAGAAGATTGTCTGATAGCTAATGTCTATGTGCCAGATAAGAAACGCGACAACTTGCCTGTTTTAGTTTATATCCACGGAGGGGCGTATCAGATATTATTTGGCAATATAGTTGTCAGTAAAAATTTAATACGAACGGAACCAATGGTTATAGTTAATTTTAATTATCGACTTGGACCTCTTGGTTTTCTGTGTTTGGGTACACCAGATGTGCCAGGTAACGCTGGCATGAAGGATCAGGTGACTGCACTTCGATGGGTTAAGAGAAATATCGCCAGTTTTGGTGGAAATCCCGAAGATATAACAATAACAGGATACAGTGCCGGGGCATCATCAGCAGAGCTTCATATGCTCTCACCAATGTCTGAGGGTTTATTTAATAAGGTTATACCAGACAGTGGCTCCAGTGTTGCACTTTACAGCGTTCCCGTAAAACCTGTTGAAAATGCTAAGGCTTATGCTAAATTGTTGAATTTTACTGCCACTGATGATGTGTTTGCTCTAGAAGAATTTTATAAAACTGTTCCCAGAGAGGTTTTGTATTCCATCGACGTGTTTAAACAAAAAGATTCCACGTTCTTTTTTTCACCGTGTGTGGAACGCGATGTAGGACAAGAAATATTTCTTGATGACGCGCCTGTTAATATTTTAAAGGCCGGTAAACAAAATAAGTTACCTATGCTGTATGGGATTGCTGAAATGGAGGGATTATTTAGGATCCCCTTATTTGATTTTTGGAAAGATGGTATGAACGCAAAGTTCTCTGACTTCTTACCGGGTGATCTCCATTTTGATAGTCAATCAGAAAAAGAGGAGGTGGCAGAGAGAGTGAAAAATTTTTATTTCGGTCATCAATCAGTTGACGAAGACACTATATTTAGGTATATAGATTATTTTTCTGATGTACTGTTCGGATATCCAACACTAAGGTCAGTAAAGTTGCAAGTGGAATCTGGTAACAATAACATTTATCTTTACCAATATGACTTTGTGGACGACAGTGCACCATTAGTACCGTATACAGAAGTGCGTGGGGCAAACCATATCGCACAGACCTTCGATATTGCAGATCACATTATATCAGAAAACAATTTATCTGAAGACTATAAAAATGCGAAGCAATTGTTGAGAAAAATTTGGGCAAACTTCATAACAAAGGGGTACGTAAATAAAATGTGGTGTTTTGACTAAAGTAATAGTGTACTGAGAGTTAGTACTTAAAAGAACATAGGAGAGACAGAGAGTAAGTTAATACAGAATTAATGTAATTTTATAACATTAGTTTAAAAACATATTCTAACAAGTATTGCATTTTACCGGTCCAATGATTGGTAACAAACCCCATCATACCTAGAAGAGGAAGGAAGGGAAAAGAAAAGAGAACGTTCTCAATTGCAGAAGTATATTATTCACTAAGTGATTATTAAGAAAATACCTCTGTTTGAGTTTATTTCAAAGTGTTCTTTTTAAAATCTTCTGTAGTAAATAGAGTCCCATCATCGTATACATTAATCGGTGTTATGTGTAAGCATATTTAATTATTTTCAGTACACCGGTGTCAGAGGACTCTGGTCTTCCTAACTGGCCGCCTGCGCAAGAGAACGGAGGTCCACATATGAGTATAGACAAATCACTTAAACTCAAAGGTCCATTATTACAGCAACGGGCTCTCTTTTGGGACGACATCTATGAGAAATATTATAATATTCCCTCTCCACCACCAACACCATTCTAAGTAAAGTTGCCATTATAAATGCAATAAACATAATAAACATTTTATTTTACAATCTTGTATCTATTTAAAGGAACCCTCACAAGAAAATAAATAATCTGTTGACATCACGTATTACACGTTGTTTCTATGTGATTTAAAAAATAAGTGCATATAAAATGTGGTAACACTTCTGCCGGTATTATTTGTGATCTAATATTGGCTAGAATAATCCGGTTTTTAATAAGCAAAAAATGCGCACCTAGCAATGAACTGGTTACCTAACAAAACAATGATACAGGTTTTTCCGCGCTATCGTATTCTCGTAATCTATTAAAGATAAATAAACGCTATATAAAACAATGTTTTAAAATATCATTACCAGTGAGGACTGCGCATGATACGGTAGTTACTAAAATGTTAAAATGTGCAATATTCGTGGCGTTAACATTAGTGGCGATAGGAGAGAGTAAAGAAGTAAAACAATTGAATATAGCTCAGGGACCAGTCCGCGGGTATAAAGATGCCGCTGATGATGTGTTTGTTTTTTATGGAATCCCATATGCAACTGCTCCAACTGGGACCAACAAATACAAGGTAAGATCCTTTTATATTTACACTACACTATTCTGTTACGGTAGTATAATAGTAAAATTGTCATATTCATACTAATATTATAAATGCGAAAAGATGGATGGATGGATGTTTGTTAGAGTTTGTAGCCTAAGCGACTGAACGGTTTTCGACGAAATTAGGTACAGATGTAGAGGATAGTCTGGAAGAACACATAAGCTACGCACTCTTGTTTTTTTTTATTCCACGCGGATGGAGCTGCGCGCAAAAGTTAGTAGTTTATAAAAACATTTATTAATTTTACGATTCTTTTTATAGGCACCTCTTCCACCGCCCACATGGTCGGAACCATTCGAAGCTGTCAATAGAAATATAATTTGCCCGCAAATGGAAAGTCCCTTTATGCCAAATTCAAATTCAACTGAATCAGAAGACTGTTTAATTACTAACATATACGTACCTGATACAAAAACTAATGATTTACCTGTTCTAGTCTATGTTCATGGAGGTGCATATCATATGGGGAATGGCGATTTCGCTATAGCAAAGAATTTAATAAAAGAAAAAGAAATGATTATTGTTAATTTTAATTATCGACTTGGACCTCAAGGTTTCTTGTGCTTAGGCACACCAGACGTGCCAGGTAACGCTGGAATGAAAGACCAGGTGGCCTTGCTGCGGTGGGTTAAGAAAAATATTGCCACGTTCGGTGGTAATCCTAACGATGTAACCATAATAGGCTACAGTGCTGGATCTTCATCGGTAGACCTTCTAATGCTTTCGCCAATGACGAAAGGTTTATTCAATAAAGTTATACCAGAGAGTGGGGCAAATATGGCAGCTTTTAGTGTACAGGTAAATCCTGTAGAAAACGCTAAAGCATACGCTAAGTTGATTAGCTTTTCTGGCAACGAAGATGACGTTTACGCTCTTGAAGAGTTTTACAAAACGGTCCCAAAAGACTTTTTGCATTCCGTCGATATTTTACAGAACAAAGATTCCACGTTCTTTTTTTCACCTTGTGTGGAGCGCGATGTTGGTGAAGAAATGTTTCTTGATGATTCGCCATTTAATATATTAAAGAACGGCAGACAACATAAGTTGCCAATGCTTTATGGGTTTGCTGAAATGGAAGGCTTGTTTAGAATACCATTATTTGACATGTGGAAAGACAGTATGAATGAGAAGTTCTCCGACTACTTACCTGGAGATCTTCACTTTGAAAGCGAATCAGAAAAAGAAGAAGTGGCAGAGAGAATTAAGAGATTCTATTTCGGTAATAAACCAGTTGGCGAAGAAACTATATTTAGATATATAGATTATTTTACAGACGTTATATTCGCTTATGCTACTTTACGATCCGTTAGGTTGCAAGTGGAGTCTGGAAACAACAATATTTATCTATATCAATATGACTTCGTGGACGACAGCACGCCACCCATACCATACACAGAAGTACGCGGCGCTAACCATTGTGCCCAAACCTTTGGTGTCGTCGACGGTGCGTGGCCTAACTTGTCAGAAGATAAACTGTCTAAAAGCACAAAGAAAATGAAACAAATGATGCGTCAAATATGGGCTACTTTCATTACCACAGGGTAAGATATAAATATGTACATAAATATGTATAGTTTGTTACATGTTACATAACATTTTTAATTGTTGCACAATATTTTTTTCAGTAAACCTGTGCCTGAAGACTCAGATCTTCCTCAGTGGCCTCCAACTAAAGCTAATGGCGGACCTCATATGTGTATAGACAAGTCGCTGAAGCTGCGCGGGCCACTGTTACAGCAACGTGTTCTCTTCTGGGATGATATTTATGATAAATATTATGACATTCCAAAGCCGCCACCTACACCCACGCCGAGAGCAAAGTTAGAGTTGTAATCCGCTATTTGTGAAAATAAATGATAAAGTTTTGATTTTAAAAAGCAAACATTTTATTTTTTAATAATATTTCAAGTCAAGTTTGATTCTACTCAAACATAAGCATACTTATTTTAGGCCTCTTAAAACAAGATTAGTAATTACCAAATAAAAAACTTTAAAAACAATTTAGTTATACAAAAAACGAACATAACGTAACATGTTAAATAGTATCTGTGCTTACCAAAGGCAAATATGAAATTAAATCTTTCCTCTCTGAATTTATATCTATTGTGCCAAAGGAATTACGATTAAAGCACAAGTAATGGTATTGAAAAGTCATGTTTGTTTTTTTTTATCTCTCTTGCGATCGGAATTAAATAAGCAATAATACTCCTCTACTAACGACCTAAGAATATCCACATAGCTTTTATTGCAAGATCATACCCAAAATGTACATGTTGTAATGAATTTATGTTTTTAGACATTGACGAGACTACTATATGATAGGTATAAATCTTTGTACCTCATCATATCATCGTAGTCTGTATAGATAAACAAATCATCGTGATGATTTTTGCTCTTTATCACAATGATAAACATTGTTTGGTCAAATATAAACAGGTGAATTTAAACAAGGTGAGGCAGTCGTGTACGGAAGGTAATGGTAATATCACTAAAATGTTGAAATGGATATTGTTAGGAGTATTAATGATAATTGGAAGAGGAGATGCAAAGGAAGCATGGTTGGTGAACACAGACCAAGGCCCTGTCCGAGGATACAAAGCATCTGGTGATGATGTTTTCGTATTTTATGGAATCCCATACGCAACTGCACCTACCGGCCGTAATAAATATAAGGTAAATGTTAAGTTATTACATCAAACATATAGTTATAACTAGTTAAACACGTGTTTTAATTCTTGACCGCCGCTATTTGACATTATGGACTTCAACCTGGTTATATGTTTCACCATAAATATGTATGCATCACCATACCGATAGGAGTATAAGAACTTTATCGTTTTTGGTTAAGGTTGAATTTCGCAGGCCCTCGCATAATAATAATAACCATGATTAGTCAAAATCCAATCCAGGCACTAATATCAACGTGCGATAAAACAGTTGACGTACTTAAACGTTGTGTAAGTTTTTAGAGTTAGGCCCCTAAATTTTTAAATATTGGTCATAGTAATATTACGATGTGACAAAATGTAATGAAATGTTGGAATGGTAATTGGTTAAAGATATGAAATGCACATTAGTTTATTGCAGGCACCACTTCCAGCTTCTACTTGGTCAGAGCCATTTGAAGCGGTTAATAGAAACATAATTTGCCCACAAATGTATAGTGTTTACATGGCACATCCGAATGGAACTCAAGTAAATGACTGTTTGGTCGCTAACATTTATGTTCCGGATACAAAACGAGATAAGTTACCAGTTTTAGCCCAAGTCCACGGAGGTGGATATCAAATTGGTTACGGTAACTTTATCGTAGGAAAAAACTTGATTAGGGAGAAAGAAATGATAATTGTCAATTTTAATTATCGCCTCGGACCCCATGGATTTCTATGTCTAGGCACACCAGACGCACCGGGTAACGTCGGTATAAAAGATCAGGTAGCTTTACTTCGTTGGATTCAGAGAAATATCGCCAGTTTTGGTGGTAACACTGATGATGTGACTATAACAGGATACAGTGCAGGGGCATCGGCAGTAGACCTTTTAATGCTCTCACCGATGACTAAAGGTTTGTTTAACAAAGTCGTGCCAGAAAGTGGACCTAATTTAGCAGCGTTTAGTGTTCAAGGGGAGCCGCTAGAAAATGCTAAAAGATACGCAAAGATGTTAAACTTTTCAGGAGACGTTAATGACATTTATGCCCTTGAAGAATTTTATAAAACGGTCTCTGATGATGTCTTGCATTCTGTCAATGTACTATTTGAAAAGAACGAGACTTTAATTTTCACACCTTGTATAGAACGTGATGTTGGTGAAGAGATGTTCCTGAATGACTCCCCTTACAATATATTAAAAAACGGTAGGCAACACAAGGTGCCTATGCTTTATGGATTCGCGGAAATGGAAGGATTGATAAGAATACCATTCTTTGACATGTGGAAGGATGGCATGAATGATAAATTTTCAGATTACCTACCTGGCGATTTACAATTTAAAACTGAAGCGGAAAGAGAAAAGATCCCAGAGGAAGTGAAAAGGTTCTATTTTAGTGGACAACCAATTAATGAAGAAACTGTATTTAGATATATTGATTATTTTACCGATATTTTTTTCGGTTACGGTACCCTTAGGTCAGTGAGGCTACAAGTGGAATCAGGCAACAATAACATCTACTTGTATCAATACGACTTTGTCGATGAGACCGAGCTTTTTATACCACATACAGAGTTACGTGGCGCTGATCACTGCGCACAGAGTTTGGGAGTTTTCGATAGCTTTACACAAGACCCTTATGAAGAAAACCTCACTGATGATTTAAAGGGTGTAAAAAGAATGATGAGAAAAATGTGGGCTAGCTTTATAACAACTGGGTAAGTTGTCTGCATAAATATCTGAAAGGAATTAAATATTACAATTTGTTAAGAAATGTCTATCTCATTTAAAGTTTAATTAGTAAGTTTGTTTATGTTTTTCAGTAAACCTATACCAGAGGGCTCTGACCTGCCCGACTGGCCGCCAGCTAAAGCCAACGGAGGTCCTCACATGCGTATTGACAAGTTCATCAAACTGCGGGGACCACTGCTACAGCAACGTGTTCTGTTCTGGGATGAAATCTACGACAAATATTATAAAGCGCCTTCTCCGCCACCTACACCACCACCGAGGCATAAATCCGAGTTGTAATGAAGCAAAAAAGACTTTTTCCTGTAGAGATTTTTTTGTCAGATTCTCTAAGAAATGAGCCATACTGTACATGTTCGATTTTACATAAAAATATGAAGAGCAACAATATGGCTGATCAGCTATTATTTTCAAAATGTTATTGCTCACTTCGCAGTTTCCATAATGTTTACTGATTGTTTGAAGATTTCGAACGAGATAAATGCAAACTTTTGAAATAATAATATAGTAAGAAACTCGCGTTGAAGTTTTGGTTAATAGCGCAATAAAGGAAGGGTAACAAGAAAACTTTGAAGTATTATCTTCGAGTTCGAGTTCGTTTTGAAACCGCCCCCAGACTTTGAGTTTGGTTTTATCTTCGATTTATCATATTCGTAACGCGATAAATGTTCTCATTTGCTTCTACCTTTTAGGATTAAACTAAGTTTTCAATGTTTAATGTTGAGTATGTTAAAGCCTCATGGTCTGTTTAGATTTTATGTTTATTTTAAAGTCTCGACTAGAAAATTAGTGACTAGGCTTTGCTGTGTTTGTTTCTGTGATGTTTTTAATAATAAACCCGTACGTATACTACAATTACACATTTTTTTATTCTTGAAGAGGTTTGATTTAAGCGTTAATACAATAAAAATTTGATTGATCGCATTGTTTGACTTCAACGCTGTCTTTTTGATATGGGTAGGCAATCTCCTGGGAGGCGGCTGTTCGAAAAATACCTATTTGTATGACAAGAACAAATGGCTATTTCTATATTATTGCATTTGAAAAATCATTGTATAAGCACTTGGACTCCTTTATTTACTAAATGGTTCTTGTAACGAATTATCAAAATAGTAAAACAATCCTAAAACAATTGTACAAGATTTCGCAAAGTAGAACTGTTGTTAAGATTTTTTTTTAATAAATTAATTTTTATTTAACAAAATGAACTCTAAAGAATTGTTATAAAGTTGAATAAAGTATGATGTAGAGTACACGTTGTATAATTCACAGAGGGAATATTATAGGAGACGTTGTGGGACGCACGGTTCCGAGCTACGACCAGTAATTTACGATCGGAAATTCACAAGCGCCATGTTTACGATATACCGGTAATAAAAATACCCTAATTATTACCAAATATGTAATGTTAAGAAGGATATATTTATTGGTAAACATGTAACTTTAGAATTCCGTTGCGTTTTAGCCTTTTATCTACTAACAGGGAAGTTTCAGTCATATTCTTCAACGAAAGTACTTACTTTTAACTAACATTATAAATGCAAATGTTTTGGATGAATGGATGTTTGTTAGAGTTTGCTACCTAAACCGCTTTGAAATTTGGCGTAGTTGGAAGAACACACAGGATAGTTACTTTTGTTTTTAATCCCATTCAGAATGAATCGCGAGTATATGTAGCTATTCGATACTTGAAATGTTTATGAAGTAAAAGAAGTTCATTGATTTTTAAAATAACAATTCCTTGCGTAAACTTCAGGGTTATTTTAACGCTACTCCCCACAGCCATAATAATATATACCATAGTTATGTATTATGGGGTCCTATGTTGCCACGATACGGTATATCATTTTGTGTAGCAATTTTGCTAACTTATCCGTGCATTTCCACCGCGAAACTCCTTGGAAATGCAATATGACTATTGTATGGCTCATCGTACAATACAGTATAAGCTAGTGAATGAAATTTTATGTAAAAAAATCGTTCTTTTTTAAATAATGCTTTATTATAGTCTCTAATTACGGCAGTTAAACACAGTTCATGTGTAACGGCACCGCATCACGCACTCCCTGATAGTATCGTAGAGGGTAGGAAAGGGGAGGAGAGTAATTTGAAGTAAACTTTATCAGCTAGTTTGCGCCTCCCACAGCTCACCGTGAAAGTACTAGATTAAATGCACCTTTTATTATGTTGTCAATATTTTTTCGTCATTTAGTAATGTTTAGTAGCCAGAGATAACACCCATGTTACCTAGGGATAGACCTAAACATGACTGACAGTGACCCGTAGGAAACAAATGAAGAAAGACTTTTTAAATGGTTGATTATTAAGAAAGAAATAGGATGACATAATTTTTTGTACAGTATTTCGGTATTGCGTTTTATATTTACCAAGTTTGCTTTTTTAATCAAATCCCACCACTGGCTGATAGAGGCTCTGATAGCTTAAAAATGACGTCACTGTCAGATAAGGGAACAAAACCCGATATTTCCATCACATATTTTGCACGTTCGATTGTTATTACTTTACAACTTGTTGGGACAGGCCCTTAGCATTCGAATAACAGGAAAACTTCAATAATCTTTACAAAGATAACTTACAATGGAATACTAGAGTTAAGCTACAATAGCTATTGCAAGTTGAATCGAGTGTTATAGACTCATTAAAACTGCTTCGGATATAACCGCACTAAGAGCTAACACCAAGTTACAATTGATCTCGGATTGCAAAGACTTTACTCGATTGTATTGTTATGAAACTATTTAGGTAGTCAGAGAATTAAATTCACTTCCCAATTAGGTTGCAGTATCTTACTTATTTCTTTATATTATATTTTAATATTTCGCGTCTCATCTTACATTGATTTATTTATTTACAACTGTTTATAAAATTAATAACGAAAGATAGTGAAAAATATGAATGGGGTGGATTTAAGTTTATGAGTTAAATTAACATAAAAATACCGTTACTGAAACAGAAAATTTACATAGTAAGTAAATGAATTTATTTCGTAATTTCGAATAGTTCTTCGCATTCTTAAATGTGAATTTTAAAAATTATTGTTATTATTTAGGTGCTCTTTGGGAGTAATTATTACTTTTATCGTTATATTCAAGTTATATCTGTTGTTTTGTTGTATATTCGAGTCTCTCGATTCTCTCAAAGTTTTTGATGATATATTTTTACCAGCTATCTAATGTTATATTTCTTCCTTTATAAAGGCGGCAACACGAGTAGAATTTTTAATTTCGATCAATGCCGCCGGGAATAAAATATCTAAATAGTCGCGATCGAGACCAAAAACATAATAATCACCACAAACAAAACGTTATCGTCGTGAATCCCTTTATTTTAAAATGCTTACTGTAAATAAATGTTTTTTTTAAACCAATATATCAAATATTACCAGTAGTTAACAGGTTTTGCAAATTGATATTCACTTTTCACTCGTTTGCTTTAACAATTTTTTTCTTTAAATCTCAAAACTTGATTTAAGTTGCTTATTGCTACCAGAAAGTTCAATTATTGCCGCTTAATTAACACAATAAATTAAACTTCTGGTAAATTTTAAAACAATTAAGTTTTCTTTAATTAAAAGGTGGCAAACGAGCAAGCGGCCACCTAGATCCGCCGAAATGGTAAAACGACCGCTACCCATAGACATCCGCAATTGCAGATACATTGCCTACTTAATCGACGGAGGAGAAAACGCACAAAAAGACGATATTTCCCCTTTCTATGCTTCTCCTCCACCGTAAAATCCACTTTTACATCCTATCCTTCCCTCTTAAGCAAGGAGTGGAAAGGGAATGGGACTAAAATAAATTATAAACTAATAAATAAAATAATCGAACATCCAGTTTTACTCCGCCGTTTGTATTTGCCGCGTTTTACTTTATCTATTAAGTAATTTTAGTCTGTAAAGAAAAACAATCATCGTGATAGTTTTTGCTCTTTATCGCAATGATAAACGTTGTTTGGTCAAATATAAACAGGTGAATTTAAACAAGGTGATGCAGTCGTGGACGGAAGGTATTGATAGTATCATTAAAATGTTGAAATGTATATTGTTAGTAGCATTAATAATAGTGGGAAGAGGAGATGCGAAGGAAGCATGGTTGGTGAACACAGACCAAGGTCCTGTCCGTGGATACAAGGCACCTGGTGATGATGTATTTGTATTCTATGGAATCCCATACGCAACTGCACCTACCGGTCGTAACAAGTATAAGGTACGTACATATAATTTGATCAAGGTGTCTCAAATTATAGATTACTTACTTGTTTCAATGCTTTTATTATTATTTTTTAAATGTAATGTTTCGACTAAAGTTTGAACGCCAATGTTTAATAGAATCCAAAAAAAATTGTGGTACTGAGTATGAGCGTTGCCAGCCGAGGGACTAGACTAGGTCTAGGTATTCTTGGCGACGCCAATGGTGCTGACAAATACTATATTAGTGTAAAATTATAAAAAAGACAATATTGTGATTAGATAACTACTGCTATTACGCAAGATATGTATTCCTTAAACATTAGTCATAGCGATGTTACGACATGATAACCCGTATAATGGGCGTTGCCAACCGAAGACCTGGGGGGGGG